GGCGAGGGGAGGAGGGACCAATTACTTGCTCCATGAGCAGATCGTTGAAACAACCAGCTATATAAACGGGCTAGCCAGCCTCCAGGTTTTACTCTCACGATGTCGGCAGAGGACCGACAAAAGCTTAGTAATAAAACTGATTTTATATTTATCCCGGAGTTCAGTTTTTTATATTTCTAGTATGTATATATATACATACAGACAGACAGACACACACACAAAAAACTAACATATTTGGATTCTAATGTTTTATAAAAAAATCTTTCTCCTTTATAAATTTGTTTCATTTGAAAAAAAAGGTTGATTATATGCCACTGAATAATATAATTATACTGACTTGCCTGCTAAAATACATTCACTCTGAATTTGTTCAATCTACTTTGAATTCTTTTTTGCAACAAGCAATTGTGATAGCAAATTGTTATAAAGGTAGTAAAGTGTAGCCATTAGCTTTTTGTACAAATTTGTTAGTTTTGCTGTTAAAATGAAATGGGATTTTTTTTCCCAGACCATATCTCGAATAAGTAAGGCAATAGGAATAGAATAGCAGCTATAATAAATGAAGTGTGAATTGTATTCACTTTATCTTAATCTTTTTCGTTCTTTTCTGTGCTCTGGATTGAATTAAATCTAGAGATATATCAATAGCAGATAGGTGGCTTCATTCTCCCCTTTATCAATTTATTGCTTCCTATAATATTACTTCTGTTTTAGTGCAGATTAGGACACCTTGTTAAATGATGGCAGTGGGATTTAAGGAGGAAAGAGGTTTGAACAGAACATGTTTACTGAAAAAGAGAAGAGACCAAGAGAATGGGGGGGGGGGGGAAGAAACGGTTTAACTTGCATGTATCCATGGATAAATAATCCACTTTATTTAAATCACTCTTGACAATAGATCTTAGTAATATGAAATAAAAGATTCTCTGTGTATTGGAAAGACTTCTTGCATAGTAACGAGTTGCTATGAAAGAGAGCGCAAGATGAACTGGGACCTTAAAAATATGGCATGCTTCAAAACTGAATCCATTCTGTGTTAAAAAGGGGTGTGATTATAGGTTTTAATCGCAATGAAATACTTTTTCAATTAATTTGGGGTTATAGCCAATACAATATGACTTCCCCTTTCTCTCTGCCCCTTTTGATTATACCCCAAATTTGCTTTAGACAGTTCGTCAACTGTAAAACTGATAAATTTGATCATTTTTAAATTGGATATGAGCGGAGTGTATAATAAATTACACTACAATTACAACTACTACTATACCAAAGTTAATTTGATTTTTTCCCCAATACTGTGTATCCTGTGTATGAATCCAAGTAAGTTCTATTCAATATTGGTCTATAATCAGTGGTGGGATTCAGCCAGTTCTCACCAGTTTTGCAGAACCGGTAGCTAATTTTTTGTTGTCCAGGCCCAGAATGGACTTCCGGAAGCGGCATCCACACAGAGAACTGGTTGTTCACTTATTTGAATCCCACCACTGTCTATAATTGTCTTGTTTGCTTGCACCTTTCCAAAGTCTCACTTGAGAATTATGCATTTTCAGAAAGAGCCTACCACGAAGCTTGTTAAAATATTAATATACAGAGAATTATTTCTCTTGTTTATGTTTCCTTTTATTTTCATATGGTAGATAAGTATTTTTTTTTAATTTCCCATCACTCTGTGAGAGAGAATGTTGGGGGCCAAAGTCTGGCTTAATTTTAAAGTTTTAACTTCTGAAAGTCACCTCATACCGATAGTGACACTCAAATGTACTTCCTACTCACATCAGCTTAATTCCACTCCACCTTGTTTGTTTTAGTTATCACTGCTGTCTCTTTCAGGAGTGCCTCTTGTAAATAACATGTTTTTTTACAATAGCTGCTGTTCTGGTTTTTGAATTAGTCTTTGATACCATTTAGTTAAATTAGATTGTACCTTTAGCTTAATGCAAATGAAACATTATTTATTTTGTGAAAAGATACCATGGGATCATGTGCTGTATATTCTGTTCATCTTGGCCATCATTAGGAGTTACATTGGTACATTCTCTAATCACAGTTCAATTTAATTTGAATTAATCACAAAAGTGGAATTCTGTTTAGTGCTCACCATGAATATTATTTCTAACCATTTCTGATGCAAAATGTGTGATTATAGGCCTGGTTTTGAATTCGGTATTCACAATCAGTGAATCAAAGCGTTATCTTCACAATACTGTAGGCCATTATAGCCAGTGGTCTTTTACAGGCATATAGAAATTCTATTGATTTTTGAAAACCTTTGTTATATATGCTAAACTAGTAGTCTTTGACTTACAACCATTCATTTAATGACCATTTGAAGTTCCAACGGCACCGAAAAAAGTGACTTATGACAATTTTTCACACTTACAACCATTGCAGCATCCCCATGGTCACATGATCAAAATTTGGATGCTTGGCATTTAGATGTATTTATGAAGGTTGCAGTTTCTCGGGATCACGTGATCACCTTTTGTAACTTTCTGACAAGCAAAGTCAATGGGGAAGCCAGGTTCACTTAATAACTGTGTTACTAACTTAACCACTGCAGTGATTCACTTAACAACTATGGCAAGTAATATAATAAAATGGGGCAAAATTCACTTAACACCTCTCCTGCTTAGCAGTGGAAATTTTGGGTCACAAGTCGATTACCTGTATCTCGTTGAATACAATATAAATGTATGATCTAGCTATCAAATTGCATGAAGTTATGCTTGAACACAAAGGCAACATTCACCTACATTGTAAACTATTATCTCAGAAAGAAGAGTAATTAACATCATTGTTCTTGTAAAGAAATAATGCCAAGGAAGAATATATGAATTCTCTATTTGCCGGAGTGGCAGAGGTTAGTTAAAAGGTGCTAACTTCAGAAATAACCTGATCTTGCATTTGTACTTTAAGTTGAATAATTCTTAACACCAAAGTAACATCCAATGTTTTAGTTCTTCAGTGAAAAATTACTGTATAGTATATTAGCATGGAATATGCAACACTTGGGTTTAACTGGCTATTTGTACAATATGTAGTTCAGTTGAAATGTTGCCTAATATTTATATCCAGATACTCACATTATGCTGTTAAAAGATTAACAACAGGTGGAATTTTTGTAATAGGGTGAGATTTAATTTTTGGTTGTGATGGGGAAAGAATTTTACTTTTATCAAGTGTCACCATTGCCTTTTGAAAACCTTAAACATGATCATAAGAAATAAAAGTTATTTGTATCTGTAGAGGTGTAAATTTTCCCAAGAATAACTACATTTTGCATAAAGTTGATCCATTCTGAGACTGGAGATTATACAATGAACACTATATTGGAAAAGGCTGGTAGTTTCTGAAATAATTTTTTGTGAAACAAGGATTTAAAAATGTAACATTTTGAAAACACTAATTTTACACATTATTGTAGTTTTACCAGGATAGCACAGTATCATCTATTGTTTGTGTTTTATACAATCTGTATTTTTAAGTGGCAATCCATACACTACATTGCTAACATTTTGAAAAAAAAATATTGTAGATCTTTTAGCTGTCAGTATTTGAAAAAAAATGTTGAGGCAAAAATATTGTGAAACACGTATAATTTTTAGTGTAGTATATTATTAGAAGAAAAAGAATTCAGCCGTTGTTCCTCTCATTAGAATCATATTCTTCTAAGGCTCATAATTATTTTTTTCAAAAAGCAAAACAATGCCTTTACTGCCAAAATGTTACAATAGACACTGAGTATTTGGTATGTGATTTCCACTTTAAAATAAGCAGCTTAGGTTTTCTTTTAACGAGTAACAAGTTTTTAGCTAAGGAAACAATCTCTTTATTAATAAACATTAGAGAAGAGGGGGTTTGTTGGCAATCCTACCCATTGTTTTCAATAAATAAATGACTGTTTTCTGATAGAAGTGTAAATGAAATGTTCCTAAGTGTTTTATGCTTTGTAGAACAAGTGCAAAATAAATTCTATGTACTTCATCATTTAAATTACCTTTAATAATCGTTATTTACTCGTGTTGTATGTGGCTAAAAAGGTGAACTGGAACTGAGGTTCTATGAATGCTGGATGCGTGCTTCTATGTCCCATGGATGCTTTTGTTCTTAGCATTTGCTTCTAAGTTCTTAAGCATTTAATTACTTGGGGGATGTGTATGAATAGATGGATAGGTAAGTCAGTCTCTGAGAGCTTTCTCTGTCTGTTCACTTATATTGTGATTTGTAAGAAAGAAATTTGGAGGCAAAGCATGCTATAATCCCTTTAACTTTATATTTTTAGATAAATAAAACTGTTATCAGTTTGACTTTAGCACTAAGAAACATTATATAATTTGTTGCTCCATTCATAGTTTGACATTTATTTATTTGGAAAATTTATATTGCCGCCTACTCACTCACGGCAACTCAAGGCAGCTTACAGGAAATAAAAACACAATATAAATATGGTGCTTCATGTTGGAGTATTGGTAAAATTTTAAGCTGCTCTGCCCTTATAGTACAATCTCTTATTTTATAATATAATTTTATTGCACTTATTAGAGTATAAAATACAAAATGAAACTGAAAATAGTGGGAAAGAGGGGAGTGTAGGATGAAGGGAGGGGGAGAGAAAAAAACATTATCTTCTGACTCTTCAGTGCAGTACAATAAACATAAATTTACAGCCTCAACTTTTTACTTTACATACTCAATATATACTAGTCATTTCTTTTTTTAAAAAAAGATGTCTAATCACTAAATCCCAAAATATTTTTTATCTCAACTACAAAATCCAGACATGGTTTCCAGATAGAAACAAAGTTAGATGTATTCTTCTCTTTTAATTAAAACAGTCAATTTGGCCATTACTGTATTATATAATTTTGTTTTTAAATTTGTATGTCTGTTTTAGGATACAATATTTGACTGAAAAATGGAAATAAAAAAAGACATTCTGGTTCTCTATAACATGAGCATGCAGCTTATAATACAGTTAATCATAACACATGAATGTAAAATTCTGATAAATATTTGGTATTGTTTAATGCAAATATATTACACAAAGAGGAAGGACATTAAGTCACAGTAATTGTTTTTTCATATACACATAAAGTTCTATTTCATAAATATCAATCCAATTGCAAGCCACAAAGAGGTCACATTTTCAAGAAGCTTTGATAATGAAATATGTCATCTAGCAATCTGGACATTATAAATTTCTATCTGACAAAAACCTTATCACTAGGACAAGAACACCACCTTTTTGGGGAAAAACGCTCAATCTGACTTGCATATTAATTTTTGCAAGGTTTTCGAAACTATTCACCCATTTGTAAATCATTTATCAATATTTGCTACATATAGCTGATGAGGTCCTTTTTACCTAATCAGAATTAGATACCTAATTCCAAAAGTCCTTCATGTTATGTGTTGTTAAAAGGCGATTCTGATACACTGCCTAAATAAACTACAAAATTAATCAGGCAAGGATAGATTAGCTTGGACATATTTAAACTGGGAAAAGGGCAGCGATGTTGCCTTTACCGAGAATGAACACCGATTTTACAGAATACCACTTCCTAAACACAAAGACTAGCAAAGTTGACAGCAAAAACTACAGTTACACACATGTAGGTTCAAGTGAAGTAGAACTTTAACATATATAAAAGTAGTCTATATATCTCATCCCAAAAGGCTTATTCAATCTATATTCTCTGCTTTCTTCAGATCTACTCTTTGCCCATTTGCTGGCATTCCCTTTCTGTATAACTTTAAAAAGAGGCAGAGGCCTTCTTTGTATCTGACTGCACAAAGATTCATGGGCTGAGGGCTAACCAGAAATTCAAACTCCACGATGAGAGAAAGCATACAAAAAGGAGGAAATACGTGGAAGAGAAAGGAAGAATTAAGCTGAGTTCAGTTTCTCCCTTTCCAATGACTGCTTTATCTGTGCTCCGTGTCTGTTTCCAGCATTCCATCTTCTGATTTTTGTGTTGTCCAGGTCTCTTTTCACTTTTTCTGTTTGATATACCAATTTGCCAATGCCCAATTTCCTGAGAGAAAGGGAGCATTCACAGACAGTTTAGCTTTATAGTTGCAGGAACATCAAACAATGAGCAAATTGTCATGGACGGCAGCTGATTATTGTGCACGTGCTCATAGGTATGCCAAAATCATCCTGGGAGTATTGCTATATATTTGAGTGCAGGTGGCATTGCTCTTAAACTTAGTTTCCAGAATTGACTTAATGGGACAAGGTTTATTGCAGCATTTGTATGTCTAGCTGCTTAGTTTTCTACCAGGAACCCTTGTATGGTTGCAATCTGCATATTTACTAGCCAATATATTTTGGGACAATTCAATATTGTTGAAGCATTTTTTTACAGATAAGTTGCTAAAGTTAAATCTGGATTTATAAATTAAAGATTGTCACGTTTTATTTAAAACATCAAGGAAAACCATATGAATGTACTGAGTTTCTTTCTCTTTGGATCTGGCACTGGTGAACTAATGGTAGCAGTTTACCCTCCCTGTGAAGTTGCTGAGTATCTGTAGCACCTCCGACAAAATTTCCATTGATAAATATTCTGGGAACCTGTTGAAATATAAATAAATATTATAAACCTATTGTTCAAACATGGATGAAATGCACTATAGTATACTGCTTCTACTTATGTTATTAATGAATCAAGACAAATACTCTTACAAAAATTGAAGGAACCAGACTCTGTAAAAAAAAACTTTGAGACGTGCAAGAAGCATCTTATACAATCCAATCTAACTCCAGCAGTGAACATTATTTGGATTCTTTATACAGATTCCCTTTGGAATTCAAGCGAAATACCAAATACAGATAACTTTCTTTTTCAATTTAGCACTAATTTTTATTTAAAGACAGTATTTAACTATGATCTAAAGTAGAAAGTTTGAATCACAAGGTTGATACAAATCGTCAAGTTCAGACTGAGAGCTGTAATCCAAACAAATAAGCTGAACAAGGACATATATAAGCAAAGAATAAATATTCATTCTGAAAACAATGATAGTTTTACAATAATGTTGTATTAGTTTTTACAAGGCTAGAGATTGTAATCTTATGTAAAGAAAAATTTACTCTGCTAAAACATCAAAATGCTGCACTCATATATCAGATTCATAATGAAATCCTGTTTACCTGAAAACAACTCCTAAATATATAACACTGATTTTAATATCTGATAGAAACAGGACCAAAACAAATTTTACTCTACCAGATAAAATCTCTCTTCACTAAGTGCCCAATCGTATACAGGATCTTTAATGCTAGAAATAAAACATAAAGCAACATTCTCTTATTGTTACATCCCAGCAATTTCTTCAAGGCAGCAGCTATTGCAAGAAATAGATTGCATAAATATATGGATTGCATAAAAAAATCTATTACAGTAGCACTACTACATTATGAACCACTTTGAATGACATGGTAAGGTAAAATTCACTAAAATTCTGGGCTAACTCTGAACTACTCCACTTGCATTCTGGATTTCTCTTGCAAGTGGACTAGAGTCTGTCCTGAATTAGAAAACGTAGAAAACCATGGGATATTCTATGTAGACTTTGTCATCTCACCCAAACTAAAAATGGTAGCTTGTTCTGTAATCTAAAAATATTTAGTATGATGCCTATTTTTTTTTTAAAAAAAACATAAAATATGTACTGCTTCAAAAATACCCAGAAATGGAGTAATCACTTTCTGAAATGTGTTTTATAAATGAAAGATTAAAAAAAATAGTACTCACTGTCCGGCTGCCTGTCATTTGATGAAGGATATCCTGAAACTGGCTTCCATTTTCATATCTATCAAGTTCTATGGCTTTATAATTCACATTCATTTCTTGAAATAGTTTCTTTGCCATTTTGCAGTAGGAACAACTGCTTTTTGAGAAGATCACAACACAATTATCTGATATAGCATCCTATATGTTGAAAAAAAAGTACATGATGAGAAGCATGCATAAGGGAATATGGAAGAATTTAAAGTCAATTCGAAATCCAAAGTCAATTCAAAGTCAATTTGAAATCCAAAACAACTTCAAAGTTTAGGTTGTATGTGAATCCAGAAAGTTGTAAGTTATTCAACAGACTAATTAAACCAAGTTTGGCAGGCCAGTATTAACATCTGGCACTAAATGTAATGTTTGTATAATGGAGAAAAAGCAACTTTTCAAGAAAACACATTCTATATATTTATTTATTTTATTTATTTATTTATTTATATTTGAATTTATATCCCGCCCTTCTCCCGTAGGACTCAGGGCGGCTGACAATCTATTTAAAATACATACAAAACAATACAAATTTAAAATTAATTAAAAGGAATATTAAATATTTGTCGAATTTAAAATATAATTAAAACCCCCCTAAAAATTACCCTAGGCCAGTCCTGCAAGCT